CCCCTCTGGCCAACACCAGTAGGCGGTAGGGTAAAGTGTCTTGCCCAAGGACACAACGACCAGGAAGAGACAAATAAGGACAAATAAGGAGAGGAGGAGATGTGTGTGGGTGGGTATGTGAGGGGAAGAGACAAATAAGGACATTTTCTCACATTGAATGAACTGACCAACAAAATCGTCACTCATTAAAGAGTTTTTAGGAACATCATGTGAGCAGAGAGAAATAATCACAGATCTGTGATGTTGTAAATATTAAATCATGCAGATGCTGAGAGTGATGATGGACCGCCAGACCGTTGCTCTTCCTTTCTTCTCTCCATGGTTACAAAGGGACGGTCTGAAATAAAAAGATCTCATTCAAAAACAAGAATGTATAGTAAAATTGATATATTACATATGCATATAGTGCTTAGTACTGCTGTAGCCTTCATGGTACTGACTTTTTAAAACATTTAGTTTTACACATCTAGTCAAAGATATGCTTGTCTGTGTATTCAGAGCATGCCACAAAGAAGATGATAGAGGTTCCTGTACTTTGTTATGTTTCATATTCACTGTGGATTAATGAAATCTAGTGGACATTTAAAGTTTGAAATAAATCAAGCATAATGACAAAAATAGTGAAAGGGGAGTGATTGTTACGCTAAAATAAAATACTTTAAAATGAAAAGGAAACACAAATTAGGAAGAGCAAGTCATTTGATTGTGTCGGCTGTCTTCAGGGTGAAAGTACACACTGTAAGAATAAACTGCAACAGCACATGGATTGCTGCACGTCTGCAGCTGTGGTAAACATTGACCAGCAGCTGGCACTCATTGCTTTGATGACTGTCGAGCTCTGTATATTAATAACTGTATATCAATGTATTGGTAACAGTATTACCTCTTAGAAATAAAATGACATGAAGTGATTAGAATTTTTAAGCTAAAAAAAGGGTAAGGTAATACTGACTAATGCTTTGACATGCTGAGATATACTTTTGTAATCCTGGAATTAATTCTGTCTCATGTCCTCAGTATTCTTCTTTGTTTGCAGGAAACAATAATGGTAAATAATGGCAATAATGTTTATTGTTATGGCTTATTATATGCAGGAATCAGGACTGCAAAATGCAAAACTACCTGTTTCTATGTAATTACATATTAATAACCTGTTAAAGGAAACATACAAATTACCTGTAAACATGTGGTAGTTTATGTGTAAAAACAATAAATCAGAGTGTCAAAGTTACACATTCTACTGCATTTCATAGTTATTCATTTTGAATTTTTAATTGAAAACCCAAGAGCAAAAAACCACCCAAAAAACTAATAATTTGTATTTGCTAAATAGAAATGTTTGAATCTTGTCTATTTACATATAGTTATTCAGGAGGAATGATAGTCTTACTTCAAATTATAATTCAAAAAAGATTTATTAATGTAAATACAAGATGCTGTTTGTTAAAAAAGATCTATAAAGATTTCTGATTTAATGTTTTCAGTCTGTGCTGCTTATTTGCACTGAGTTTAGAAAAGAAACACTGAAACATTTAGGTGTTATTTAAATGGTGTATTATGGCTCATCAACCACACAAATGGCAAAATATAAACACATGTAAATGCATCAGTCTTTAAACATTTAGACACAGTTACAGCTTTATCACAAACCAATCGCTGGAAACCCCCACCCCATATATGATTCCCATATCACGCAACCCCTTTCTGTATATAAAAAGAATCCCTGCTTCACAGTGTGAGGGGTTATATTTAGAGATGGGGAGTCAGGGTGATGACTCCTAAAATCGCTTATGTGAAAAAACAGTTATTTGGGGGGGGGGGGGGATCTCTGTTTATCAGAGGGGAAAAAGGAAGAATGTCCTTTGATCTTTAATCTTTGATCATTTTCTTTAAGAAGGGCTGGCGAAGGGTTTGATGAGACCAAGATCCATAGCTTTGACCAAACATGTGCGTGCTGCATCAATGGCCTCCTGCCTCTTCGGATTGTCCTCAGCTCTGCCAACCACTGAAAGGATTTCCAGTAACTCGCTCTCTATCAATTTCTTAGCCAGGTCACTGTTGTCTGAGTTGAGCATGTTGTAAACAATGACAAGACCACGGTGTTGAACCTGAACATTGCTGTGAAGGCATAACCGCTGCAGGATCTCAAGCCACTGGGAAGTCTGTTGGTACAGATAAGGTACTCTGTTTAAACATAAACATCATTGGCTAATATACACCTGACTCTGTAAGTCTGTGAAGGTGTGACTGTAGTGCAGACTTTTAGTTTTAGTTCACAGGGACTTAACAAAAGTGTTGCATGAACTGTTTAGAAATTACACTTTAGCGGTAACAGAGGCAAAACTGTGTTATTGTCCAAAAACCTACTATCCGTAACTGTAGGAGTACACCTTAAAGTTTTAAATTACCTCATTTATGTGAAATCTCTATACAAAAAGAAAAATCAGAAACGGGGGTGGGTTGTAGTAAACTGTTGCACATACCACCAGAGTCATTTTGGTGCACAGCTTTTTCTGAGCAGCCGTGATCATGGCCAGAGCTCCACCTGCAGCTATCTGAAGTTTGTCGTCATCTTCGCCGCAGAGCAACACCAGCAACTTCAGCTTATCATTGCCATCGTCCAGGTAGCGATCCTGCACCTAAAGCATACAGAGTTCATTTCATTTTCGGCCAACCTGTTGGAATGCCTACTTATTGTGTGCCGTCCATCATTATGTGTTTGCAGCTGTCCTCACCTCTTTACATGTCACTAGGTTGCACATGCATTCAGTGGCAGCCAATCTGATCTGTTCATTCTCTTCAAACATGTAGTTCTCAATCTCGGGCAAAGCCTTCTCTTTCACAATCTTCACTCTACAAAAACAGATGAAGGTTATAATTGAAAATGAAATCTGCAGAATGTAGCAAACTGTTGTATAGAAAATGAGTTATTTAATGTCACAGTGTCGATTTATTAATGTGATCTTAAAAAGAAAAAAAAACTCACCTCAGTTTTTCACTGAAACCAGCCAAGTTGGTGAGACCTCTCAGAGCTTCATAGTTCTGCATGCCTTCTCTGTCTGTGTGAAGGAGGTTCACTAATGGACGTATTACCTCATACACCTGTGAAACAATAAAAGATGTGAGAGCTGAATAGCTATGACACAGACTCCAAGTAAAAACAAGTGTAAACACTTTCATTTAAACCATTAAAAAAAAATCATTGCCACAGGCAAAACTGTCACTGAAGAAAACAAAGGAGCTTCTGTCTTACCCTCTCACCAGGGAAGGCGATTTCTGGGTTGGAAATGGCAGCTATTTTGGCAATGACATGGCTGGCTTTCACCTTTCCTGCTTCTGTTCCTTCCAGAGCGAGTGGTATGAGAGCCTGAGGGCCGAGCCACATTTATATGTCTAAATAACAGTAACGTACACGTGTGGAATTTGTTTAAGTTGATCAGTACAAATCCTGACATGCTTGCGCTCACCATGTATCTAACCGTGGCTTTATAGAGCGCCATAAATTCAAGTCTACTTTAATTTTTTTTTTTTTCAAACTGCTTACCTTTCCTCCACCCTGGGCAACAATAGTACCGCGATCTCTGGGATCCTCTGACAAAGCCAAGAAAACCCTAAAGAATAAAAAATGTGTCAAAGAGTCATGATGTCATTTATTCACCTGTCAACTGGAATTCCCCTCTATACTACAAACGTCACAGATGTCCCAGTAAGATTCCAGGGAGTTACAGTATGTGTTTTGGTTTACATATTTTGTTACGCCTCATCAGTCTTTTTTTCTCTTTTTTCCTTTCCCACCTTGCCAGCATCTCTTTGGTTTGATCTGTCAAGATGATGTTCTCTGCTTTCACCATGACAGCAAGAGCTGATGTGACTCCGGCCTTCAGCAGCCTTTTCACTCTCTTGTCAACAAAGTCCTTCTTGTCCTGACAAGAAAAAATGCATCATATGTGTGTGTGTGTGTGTGACATTTCCTGTTCTGTTTGTTGAATCATCAGTTTAGGTCTGACTTTTACATTCTTCTCTTACTTTGGGGTGTTGCTCAGGCACATGTTGTTTTGAAAACTTGGCCAGCTGAACCAGCTCAGGGAGAATTTCTTTCTTTTCATAGGAGTTAGTGCAGTTAACCAGGATGCAAGCAACTGCATATAG